GGCCTGGCTAGTCTAGGGAAGGCAAGAACTAGGTGTGACATGATAGCAGTCTACGAATACAGGAGAGGCTGTCACAAAGGGTGGGGTGGAAACAATTTTCCAAAGCACCCGAAGGCCAGAGAAGAAACTATGGGGCCACACCAGGATGAATAAAAATTAATTTTAATTTTTTTTAAAAAAAAGATCAGATTTTAAATTGGACTTTTTTCCCCCCATTTAAATCAGCTTTTTTATTTTTATCACATTTATTTTAATAAAACGCTTTTGGAGTAAAAATCTACCTAAAAGTTTTTTATTGAAGTTACATTAATAATTAAGTTTATTCAGCATGAAAGGGACCTTAGTTATGTAGCATGAGGCTGTATATTCTACAATATTGGGACTGTCAGTGAGTCAACAGCGGGTCAGAGGAGAAGCTGCTGTGGGACAGAGATGACAGCTGCTCTTTAAAATTATGATTTAAATCGAGTTGATTTAATTAAGCGTTTTTACTATTGATTTAAATCAAATCCACCCTGGTGAAAAGTGATCAAGGAAAGATTCAAACTAGAAATAAGCAGAATTTTAATACAGTCAAAACAATCAACCATTGGAACACCTTGCCTTAAAAAGTTGTGTCAACTTTGTATCAAAACTGTCTGCAATCTGGCGTTTGAATAATTATGCCACTATGTGTAACCTTACATACTTTATAAGGCGAGACTATAACTGAAATATTTCCCACCATCGGGACATTCCTAAGGTTTCTCTCCTGTGTGAGTCCTCCAGTGTCTCATCAAATGGGAATTCCGACTGAAACTTTTCCCACATTCAAGACACTCGTATGGTTTTTCTCTAGTGTGAGTCTTCCAGTGCTTCCCTAGGTCAGATTTACAACTGAAATCTTTCCCACATTCTGAACACTCATAAGGTTTTTCTCCTGTGTGAGTCCTCTGACGTATGACCAGGTGGGAATTCTGACTGAAACCTTTCCCACAATCAAGACACTGATACGGTTTTTCTCCTGTGTGTGTTCTCTGGTGTATCACCAAATTGGAATTCTGACTGAAACTTTTCCCACATTCAAGACACTCATATGGTTTCTTTCCAGAGTGAGTCTTCTGGTGCTTCACCAGTTCAAACTTACAACTGAAGCCTTTCCCACATTCTGAACACTCATATGGTTTTTCTCCTGTGTGAGTCCTCTGGTGTACTTCCAACTCGGAATTCCAATTGAAACCTTTCCCACAGTCTGGACACTTACATGGTTTCTCTCCTGTGTGAGTCCTCTGGTGTATTACAAGCTTAGAATTCTGCTTGAAACTTTTCCCACAATCCGAGCACTCATATGGTTTTTCTCCAGTGTGAGTTCTATAGTGTATCACCAGGTTTGAATTAAGACTGAACCTTTTCCCACAATCTGGGCACTCATATGGTTTTTCTCCAGTGTGAGTCCTCAGGTGTATCAGCAGGTTTGAATTATGACTGAACCTTGTCCCACAATCCGGGCACTCATATGGTTTCTCTCCTGTGTGTGTCCTCTTGTGTATCACAAATTTAGAATTCTGCTGGAAACTTTTCCCACAATCCAGACACTCATATGGTTTCTCTCCTGTGTGAGTCCTCTGGTGCATCACAAGCTTAGAATTCTGCTGGAAACTTTTTCCACAATCCAGACACTCATATGGCTTCTCTCCCGTGTGAGTCCTCTGGTGAATCACAAACTTATAATTGTGCTGGAAACTTTTCCCACAATCCAGACACTGATATGTCTTTTTTCCAGTGTGAGTTCTTTGGTGTATCATTAGGTTGGAATTCTGACTGAAACTTTTCCCACAATCCAGACATTGAAATGGTTTTACTCCTGTGTGAGTTCTCTGGTGTGTCACAAGCTGAGAACTCTGCTTGAAACCTTTTCCACAATCACTACATTTATACGGTTTCTCTCCTGTATGAGTCCTATAATGGTCCACCAGATTGGAATTCCAACGGAAACTTTTCCCACAATCCAAGCACTTGTACGGTTTTTCTCCTGTGTGATTTCTCTTGTGTTTTACCAGATTGGAATGAAAGCTAAACCTTTTG